GATAAACTACATTCCATCAATCTTCCCTATCAATCAGTCTCTGTCTTCAGGCAGTCATACAAGGAATGCTGCACAGAATAGTTGAAATTGTAAAGGTATAACAAGGGCAAACAGGTGGTCAAACACACATACACACTTCAATTCAAGCAAGATTTCTTTACCCAAATTGGATTATCATTCCCATGCCATCAGTGGGTCAGACACTAATTGATTTATGGCCATGTTTTAGCTCATATTGTTCTTCAGCCTGTCATCTGATTCACCCTCTGAAATTAGCGGTCAGCAGATTTATTGTATTAAAGCAAATTCTGTATCTCAAGAGGATCCTTAAGAGGATACTGTTTATTTTTCCTGCAATGACTTTGCCTTCTGTTTACTTTGTTGTCTGTTTGGTTAGGCAAAAGTGTGATTTGCCTTATTGTTTGAAATGGAGATCTTCTCTCTGTTCTCTGGCCTCCTCAGAGGTCCTGTGATTTTGAACCTCTTCTCTGTGGTATGCAAGGAAAAGTGATGGGGTAATGCAAACAGAACTGAGAGTGACCTCCTCTTGGCGTTCATATTTTACACAGATGTTTACTTTTTTGTCTTTTTGCACGAAAGCAAAGTGTCACACAAAAGTAGGTGAGAAATGGCACTTGAGATAAAACCTAAGTATCCTTTTTTTAGAAATAGATTCTGTCTTTTGTGTTTTTGGCGCCACTTAAATGAGATTACTAAAAAACACATTTGTTTGTATGTAGTGCTCTTAAAATTGAACTGGATAATAAAAAAGCAGGTTAAAAATATTAGATACTTTAAAACAATATACAACCTAATTTCTATCCACTTACTGGATAACCTATAATTGACATTATGGGGAGCTTGATTCCACTTTTTTTACGATAATAGTTAAACTAGTGACCCTGCTAAACTTTTATACCCTTGCACAGCCTGTCCACTTTATAACTTTCATGGCAGCACACACACACACGTCTACTTGCAGTGTCTCAGACCTCCCAGCCACTACAGTCTGAGCATGTAGTGGTTTTTTGTTGTGTGAAATATGTGTAATGAATCTCTGGAATTTGATTTATGGCTACTTTTTTAGCCCCCCTTAGCCAAGTAAAGAACTGACTCATGAATCAATTTAACAAGATGAACTAAATTCAGCAAGTATATAAACACTGACTTTATATACTGTATAAGATGCAAGGAAGTTTGTTTGCTTAAGTGAGACTGCCTTGACATTTTTAGATAATCATTTCAGCTCTCAGTGTTGTTTTGCTAGTCATAGCTTTTATTTTTGTAACCTTTGCTTTTTGAAACATGATGATCTGCTTTTACCATAACTGTACAAATTATATTTGAGGTGTATAGTAACTAAATACATTTATTTTGCTGCACTTAAGTA